CAAGCAAATGGAGGGGACACACTTGGGTGGGAGGGGGGAGAGGGAGGAGGGAGGGAGGTTTCGGTGATGGGACATAATAATCAACTACATTGTATATTGACAAAATAAAAATAATAATAATAAAAAAAACAAATGCTCCCCACACAAAAATTAGGGGAGTGTACCTTAGTTTAATAAGGTTAGGTATTGCTGCAAATGGTATCTTCTTCTTAGACTTGAATCATTAATCAATTTAAAGCTAGGAGAAATTTTTCAGTAAAGAAGTCTTAAAAAAAAAAAAAGAATGAAAAAGTAAAAGTTAAAGAGATACTGTAATTTCCCACTCGTGGCCAACAGCTCTTTCAAATACTGCAATACATTTGGTATGGTGTGTGTGTGCACAGTTATGAATATGTGTGTACATACATATATATGCATACACATATACCATATCTGTACATATATACATATGTATGCATGCGATATATATGTTTATAATACAAGGATACTTCAAAAAGTTCATGGAAAAGTGGAATTAAAAGAGAATATGAATCTTTTCACAAATTTTTTGAAGACCCCTCATATATGCCCTATATGTATGTACATATATATGTATGTATACACATATACCACATATATGTATGCATACACACATATTTGATACTGCAATGTATGGTATTTTATATATATGTGTGTGTATATACATTTATGTATATTTATGTGTGTATACATATACAAGGATGCTTTAAAAAGTTCATGGAAAGAGTTATATTCTCTTTTAATTCTATTTTTCCATGAACTTTTTGAAGTACCCTTGTATATGTATATACAAATGTATACATACACATGTAGGCCACATATATGTATGCATATACATAAGTGCATATTGATAGTATAGAGAAATAAATCTTTAACATAGTCCAAATTAAGAGGAAATTATATCAAAATATCATGGGAAATTCTCATTGCAGCATGACTTTACTTGAAACACAGAGAAAAAAAAAATCACATTGGGATTTTTTAAGTGGAAACCAACATCAAGAACTCTTATAGATGAATCTTTTTTTCTTTAGAAAGAAACATGATCTCTTAACAAGTTGAAAATTAACCTTACCAAGGTCACACAGATAAGTTTTATTTTAACTTACTTTTCTTTTCACCTAGCAGAAATTACTTGGCAATCACTTCATTCTTTCATTCCTCACTTTCTCTTTTAACCCTCTTCCTTTTGATCATGAACTTGCTGTGATCCCTGCTCTCAAGGTTATCTATCAATCTATCTGTCTGTCTGTTGATGACATTTAAGTCAGAAATGGTATTCTGGTTCCCACCTCTATCATTTACTAGTCATATGGTCATAAGTAAAATACTTTATTACTCTGAATCTCATTTTCCAAATATTTAAAATGTGGAATAATACTTTCCCTGTTTATGCCAAAGCATACCTAAAGTCACAAAAAACAATATAAACTAACTAAATTAAAATATTTATGTATTAATCAAAGTTTTAGAAATAAATATTCTGTTTAAGTGTTATACTACTTTGTATTACATACACTTTAGATATGTTTAATAAATCTTTTCCACCACTGCCTCTAATTTTAGTGAATTAAAAATTGTCAATAGCAAAACCCCTTCATCTATGAATTGACCTATTTTTCTCTAGAATTTTTCTCTATATTTCCCCCTTCTCTCCTTTTGCCATTTGAACTTTTTATACACATTTTATATTACTTTAGTTAGGATAAACTATGATTTTGCTATTCTTGTCTATTTGACAAAAGTAGAGCAAGTTAATAATACTTCAATTCTCATCCTATTCTGCAGGACAGAGGATCTTTTAAAAGAAATAATTATGATTGGCCTACTTACTTTCATATTATAAAATTTACTAGTTTATGGATGAAGCAGAACATGTTTCTTTTCTTTTTCTGTAACTCCCTTTTCCCACAGCATACATGTGACTTTCATGACAGATCCTTCTTGTAAGTCAAAGTGCACTTTGTTAATGTCACCCATGTCATAGCCCTCTGCATGCCTGGGGCTATGATTTGTGTTCTATTCTCCTTATTTTTAACAAGCAGTCAGAATAGTATTTGTCCATGGATCCATACAAATGTCCCAGTACTTTAGGTACATCGTATGGTTACTTTAGCTAAGAACACATTCCAAAACAGAAAGAAATTTTAGAGCATTTCTATTTCTAAGACTCATTTAAGAACCTCTAGTGAGCTTTTTTTGTCATTTGCTGACAATCTTTCAAAGAAAGTCAAATGAAAACACATTTTAACAAAGCTAAAATTATGGCAGCAAGTTGATTTCTTTTATTTGAATTTGTTAAGCAGCTTTCAAGACAAATCAGAAATTTCTTTGAAGTTCATTAAGCTGCCCTAAGGGAGACATGACAAAATTATTTCTTGAGCAAACCACTGCATTTTGAAACAATACATTTGTCAGGAAGGTCAGGTAGAGAGACCCTATTCCTAATACCTGTGGAGTATACTAACATTTATAAAGCAAATGTATTTCACAGGGCCTAGTTTCCAAAGCCCTGTAGTTTCAGGTATAACTTAACCTTTTAAAATTACGTATGGAAATGCTAAGCTTGCAAAAGACAGGAAACCTTCCCTAGGCTAAAGTCTCTGTTGTGGATATAGAATTTGTAACACAGCAAAGTTGCTGGCTCTCAAGGACAGACATTCTTGAGAGCAGGTTAACCTACTGATTGATATGTTAAGAAAGTTGCTTTATTGTTATGTAAAATTACTGAGGAAACTGCTGTAGGAAAACACAGTATTTACTAAGAACAAGCTTTTGTTGATGGAGTGACTTAGCCTTTTGCAAATTGCAGTATGGAATGTCACTTCGTTATTTCACTGATGTTACCAGCTTCTATTGTTAAATTATACTTAACCATAACTCCACCTATGTTCCTTTTCTGTAACTTTCTGGCCTGGAGAATAAATACTGAGACAGAACCCTAGTTTGTGGTTAATTTCCCAAAGGAGGATTGCCTCTCTCTTGAGGGTTCTGGGAAATTAACCCTTTCAGGGTGTCTTACTGCTCAGAAGAGATGGGCTTTGAGTAATCCTTTTGCATTTCTATCACTCTGTGTGAGGCAAAGCAACAAATACCTGATTTAAATTTGGTAAGGTCCCATCTTGATTTCACCTAATAAGTTTTATTTTCAAAATAAATTATTTTCTTTGTTTAGGATGTGCTGTCCATTATGGTAGCTACTAATCACTTGTGGCTATTCAACTTAAAATTAAAAATTCAGTCCCTTAGTAGTACTTAGTCATGTTTCAAGTACTCAATAGCCACATGTGGCTAGTGGCTACCATATTTGATGTCACAGATTACAGAACTTCCATCATTGTAGAAAGTTCTAGGGGACAGTGCTGCTTTAGAAATGATATCCATTCTGCTACACAATTTACTATTTAAAGCAATAAGCCTCACATTTATAAGTATTCAAATGTCTTAAAGCATCTCCAAAAATCTTCTATGTAAGTATATCTACTCCATACTTAGTACTTATGCTTCCCAATTCTGCCCCTGTGATATTTATGTCATCATCCTCATATTATGATTGAAGAAATTAAAGGTCAGGAAGATTAAGCTAGAGGCAGCATGTCTAGTAAGAAGTAAGCATAAAATGTTTATCCCTATCTTTCTGACTCCTGCATATTTTTCCATTTTATAAGATAAGGAGATGTCATTGCAGAGACCTTACTTAAAAATGCTCATTTATAAATCATCTAACCATTCTCTTTCTGTTTTTACTTCATAAACTCAAACACATCTGCATTTCACTTGAATTTGCTGGAGATCTGCAGCCTTCAATTTCTGAATGTATTTATAAACGAATATATCTTTACAACATATCAACATCAGTTGAGAAGTTTTCCTATATTATATATCCTTCAGGCCAAAACTTTCGGGTGATATAGATTAGAACATCTTATTCATGTGTTCTTTGCATATTTTTAACATTAGTCATTATGCTGATCAGTCAGGAAGTGAATAATCAGAAAATATTTATGAAAGTTTGAAAATCCCCTGATCATATCTGTATAAGAGCTGCACATTTATTTACGTATTTTCCAAGATTGTTCAAGTGCACTGCACTATTTCTCATACCCAAATCTGAGTTTTCTACTACTCTATATACCATATAGGTAATTAAAAAAAAATCACCCATTCACTTGATAAATGTGACCCCTCAGTTCATATTTTGAAGAATACCAAATATTACATCTATTCTTCCCTCTGCCTTTCCCACCCCAAGACCCAAGTCAAGCCAAAACAGGTTTTTCAGATTAACTGAATCTTTTTGGCTAAAAAGCTTACTTACCCTTTACAGCAAACAAATAGTTAGTGTTTCCAAGGAATTGGAACAAAATCAAAATATTTAACATTAAGATCATATTAGCTAAAATTTAACCTCATTTTGATGATTCAGAAGATTCAGATCATCAAGAAAAATATTTATCAATCTTCATATGTTCAGAAAAGCTAGTAATAAAAATGCCTTATTAGCCCTTCAAATAAATTTGACATCTTTTCAAATAGCAAGATAAAGCTTTCTATGTAAACTAATCACTAAGAAAAATTGCTAGGCTTGTAGATTCATTCTTAACATTTAGATTTGCTTTAGGTCAAGTTTGTGGCAGAGTCATGACCAGAGAGATTAAAAGTAAGATATTGGGCAAGCTATTGATTTCTAAGTAGCAGGGCTGAGCTCCTTGTCTGATCCCTATAACAGACTGTTAAGGGAAGCACAACTGTTTGAAAATAAATATACACACAATGAAGATTCATAAACCCTATGTAACTGCAAAAATTGCGTTGATGAATTTTCTCCAGTATGCTTTTTGTAAAAAAATAAAACTTAAACTAAAAATTTAGAGTGCTGGCTTACTCAGAATTTGAAGTACACTAAGATCCTTTGTGTGTGTGTGTGTGTATGTGTTTAAAAAATGAGATAATGTCTTTAACAAAGTGTTTTAAAAACGCACCTTAATTAGTTGGTAGTTTTGAACTCCGTTTATTCCTATGTCAGGATCAATGGCCGCTGGGAGAGCATATCGAGAGTTTATAGCCGAGTTCTCTGGAATTGATATATTGATAACTGTTGCCGGGAATAATGGTGCATTATCATTTATATCTTCTATCAGAAAACGTATCTTAACCAGTCTAAATATTTCATCCGGTAAAACGGCAACCTCCACTTCATAAAAGCAACGGTTATCCATCAAAATACCGGCACATAATTTCTCACGATCGATGCGAGCCCCAGTAGTGAAGATCTCACCAGTACCCTCTTCAATCCGAATCAGTGGCACATCCCCAGTCTTGTATACTAACTTGAACTGCATGGGAGATGTCAAGGACTTGTCTGGAATTAGCGACAAGTTGAGGTCTTTCAACAAGTCGCCTATCAGGACGTTTTCTGGCATTTCTTCTCGGACCGTGTAGTTCTTCTCCTGGGCGCCAGACTGAAACACGACGCATGCTAACAGGACCGCAAATATATACGTCCCGGACAACAAGTCCATACCAGGCACAATGGTCACAGTTCTCTGTATCAACCCACAGAATACTGACAAAGAGAGAGGGAAAAAAAGAAAGAGACACAGAAAGAAAGAGAGAAAAGACAAAGAGGAAGAAGAGATAAAAGAAAAAGAAATTATTAAGAAGTCAACCATAAACATGCATGTTAACTAAATGCTCAGTTTTAAATTATTAAATGAAATATTAGCACAATCAATACTGTTAAATAAATTAAGGACAATTTTTAAAAAATCAAATATTATGCATTTTTACATTAAGATGAAAGATAAATGAAACAAGATACAGTAATTAAGAGTATTTATAAAAGTGTACACCACTGATAAATATATGAGATAATACTTTAATATACCGAGATAGTTAAAGGTAATACAAGTAATTAAAAATATTTAATTCCATATTTAAGGGAAAACAAAATAATATTTGTTACCAATCACAAAAATATAATAATTATTCTTTGTTATAATATGGGTTTCAAATGCAATTATTCTGTTGGCAATGAATATTTTATTCAATATTCCATATCTTCAGTTCTGGGCATAAAGTGTAAAACTTGATCTGGACAAAAGGAGATAAAGAATCATGACATATGAGGGACTCAGGAAGTTTGAACTGAAGAATAAAAGTCTTTTGGGAGAGGAGAGTGGTTGATGTGACAAATGCGTAAACATAGGAAGAGCTATCATGTGAAAAAGGAATTAGTTTTCTTTCTTTGGGTGAGAAAAACAAAAATAGGTATAAATTACATGATGTCACCCTAAATCATTCTGAAAAAAATAAAATAAAATAAGGTTTTCAGGAGATGTGAATTCCTTTTCTTTGAAGGCACATACATAGAAGCCGGACCACAAGTTTAGATCTACATATTTGGTTTAGATTTATAGATTTAGTAGATGACATCCAAGCATTCAATGGGTAAGTTGGACTAGAAAACATCTCAACTTGGAGAATTTTGTTTATAGATTGCAGAAGGTAGCCCTTATGAAAATGGGTTTTCATCTACAAGTTGACATTGGAATTACCCAACTACATAGAACACCTTGACTAAGGTTTAAAAATAAGAAAGGCATTGTACTGTATATTTCAAAATTGTTGAAAGAATAGATTTTTAACTTTCTCGACACACAAAAAATCATACGTTGGTGAGGTGATGGATGTTAATTAAGTTGATTGAATATTTACAGTGTATAAATAGATCAAAATTTTACATTGTACCCCATAAATATGCAGTTATTATTGTCAATTAAAATAAATAAGTAAAATTTTAAAAAAGAAAAAATAAGAAAGACATCTAAATACTCTTTATCAAGTTAAAAGTAAGTCAAAAGACAATCGCTCTGGCTGCTTTTTTCCACTTATTATTTTTTACTCACTGAAATCTTCCAAATTATTTCAGTTCTCTAATTCTTCTGGTAAAATTCAGTAAGGAATTTTGATTCCTTATAATCTGCAGAATTTTTTCCTCAGTTTTCTTTCTTAATTCTCAATTCCTATTCTTAATTTGATTTGTTTGATATAGTCTCAATTTGATATATTAAATATCTTTCAGTCTCTAGTATCATGAAACATTCTAATGTGCTTCTAGATATTATTTGTAGGTAATGTTATGTAAACACAAAATGAAATTTGCACCACACTGCACTAAACCCTATCAGATGTCATATTTTTATAATTAAATATGGGTTAATTCAACTATCAAGGCATTCAGCAGCTTTAAAAGAGTAGTGGACACATGGTCATTTAAAATTCCATTACAGAAAAGTATCAATGAATATTGGTATCTAATTCAGGAAGTTTTCGCTATTTGCTAGTAATCGGTAACATTAACAAAGTTTTAGTAATGGTTCTAAAAACAGGAGGACTTGTGGCATGATATAAATAACTTGCTACAGATATTGTGCTCTGATTACGCCAGACAATGTACTATATTGAACTGTCCATTGCAAAGCTGCATGAGTTCAGTTTTAAAAAATATGCATATGCAAATGGTGAAAGACACAAAATTGAAAAAAAAAAAGAAATCTTCCTATTTGCAATCAGTAACAGAATAAATGCATTTGTTGCAACGATTGAGATGGTTTAGGTTATGAATAGAACCAAGAGGTGAACTAGATAAACTTTAAGCAATTTATTGTATAAATTCTGATTGCAGAATTTTAAAAATATATATTATGGGTCCAACCATCCTGCTGTGTTTAGTGGTTAGTGCCATTTCAGGTATAATAGTGAATAGTGCTAATGCTGAAGACATTCTCTACCCTAGTAAACAACACACAAAAAAGTGTTACCTGTATTTTTAGAATCATTTGCTCATTTATGAGCATTGGGATTACATAATATAGACACCTGCTCAAGATTCAGTCTCTTGTGAATTATTGGTCTTACACTCTGTTATGAATGTGAGATTAAAAATATCCCATTGATAACTTATTATGAGTTAATATGCATATATATATATGTGTTTTCTATACACTGTGAATCTAGGACATCTAAAAAAATTAAATGTCTATGTGTGTGATTTTATAAATACCATGCAAACATAAGCAAAAATAAAAATGGGGCAGTGACAATTGGAATTAAAACTACCACCTTATTCTTGTCTTACCCTTAGGTATTACACATTATTACAACTGGAAGAAGACGACTACAGACCATTTTTAAAAACATTGTGGGCATGTTGCAATATCTCTACACAAAAGAAAGAATTAAGGAAGTGACCTAATTCCAAGAAGTCCTCTTTGGTTCTACTCTACCTTTAATACCATGATCAAGCAAAACATTTTAAAATGTTCATCACTTGAAACTCTTTTGGAGGTTTTAAAAACCAGGGTAAAAAGACAATATCATTTCTAGAGCTTAAGTAAATATACGTGTTGCCAACCTAGAAGGGATATTTACCTTATACTTAGTAATTCATTTCAGATGAATTGAATTCATGAAGGTTTAGTCACTTACTCAACAAATATTTATTAAGCAATTTTTATATACCAAGAACTATTGTAGGCACTGAGAATACATCAGTGAACAAAACAGACAAAAATCCCTGCCCTGGTAGAGTTTATATTAGATAATATAAATATTCCAGCATGTCTTTCATTCAGTGTTCAACCACTTTATAACATTTAACACTTCCTCTGCAGGATGTGAACATGCATGCTTAAATAACCTCAGTCTCCAAATTTTGATTTCAACTCTTACATTCCCCACTTGAAAATGTATTGTCGTCCTTAAAATTAAAAGTGTTTTCCTTGAAAATGCTGAGTTTAATTCCTTGAATGGCCATTATAGAAATTTAGCCACTAAATATGGATATTAATAGTCAGCACTTAGTTTTATGGAAGCATGATAAATTTAACTCAGATATTCAGGGAAAATATGCCTATGCACATACCTTTACTTGGCTCTAATTTGTCTTTCTCTCATGAAAAAATGACAAGATAACCTTAAATTTCTGTACCTTTCCCCCACAACACACTTGTGCTACAGACTAAAGTTAGTTTGGAAATCAATAGGGGAAGCACAATGGAAGCATATAAAGAATTAAAATTTTCTGTGAATTCCAGTAGTGCCTGTGCTATTTAAGTGATGCCTTTTTTCAGCAGTACTTAGTAGTTGGGTAGGCACTAGTTGTATTTACAGAAACAGAATCATGACAATCAGAGAAAGCAAAAGCGGAAACAAAATAAGCACCTCCAGAAATTTAAATTCAAGTTCATTTTATACTCTCCGGGCAATTTAGTTCTAAAAAGTTAAGTAGGTAAGGTAGATAGGTCTCTAATACATGTAATTCTAAAACTTTTGAACCACAAAAGTGATGTTCAAATGGTTTGTGAGAAGAATTCCAAGGCATAATTTCCTCGATGCTCTTTTTACATTTTTTTTCATTACAGGGCTGGTTTCATTTGTGATATATTTAAATTAAATATATGTGAATTACTGGTTTACATGCTACAATATCAAATTGTTAAAATAGTACAAATTTAGGTATTACATGAAAATAAGAAATATGTATATGCTGCCCATTATCCTAACTCCACTTGGCCAGCGTCATCCTGATTAATGTCTCATGAAGTCAAAAATACACCATTCAACAACCATGAGGTATTATACAGTCACTTCTATGTTCTTGGTCTCAGGTACAGGTGAAGCTTCCTTCACAGCCTGGATAAACAATAAGGTAGTTCTCCAGGTGGACAGGAAGGAATCTAGGACACTGCAAGATAAGTAACCATATTGGGAGAAAGACAAACTGGTTAAAAAATGAACCCAACACTTTCAAAGGGACTGACCACAGCAAGCAGAGGGAAGCAGGTGCATCGACTGCCTTATTTGACATGGCTACTTCCTGTGTATTCCGAAACCTGAGATGTCAAAATGAAAGATTTATTTTAATTATATAGAACTAGTCTTTTCATTACATTTTACTCCATAAAAAGCCCACTTATTTTACTCCTTTTTTGTACATGTCTAATTTTCACATTTGTGTCTAAACTTCTCGGAGAAATGTATTCCTTCAATATTGCTTCCTTCTCTAAAATGTTTATTATTTGTTTTTTTTTTTTTTTTTTTTTTTTTTTTTCCGTGTCCGGCAACGGATCGCAACCCTCAGTGTTGCCCCCGTACCGGACCGGGGACCGGCGACGGGATTGCAAGCCTCGGCGTTGCTCCCGCGCCTCGCTCAGCCAGTGAGCGGGAGCCGGTCTGTACGTGGGATCCGAACCCTCGGACGGGAGTGCCGCCGCGCTTCCCAAGCAGCGCACTATCCAGTGCGCCACCGGGCCGGCCCATGTTTATTATTTGTTGATTCATTCTAACACTCCGCAGCAATTAGAGCAGTGTGCTCCAATAGAGTTAGAGTATGATAATAATCAATGTTCAAACAGCATTTATAAGACAATTTGTGAAGGTTGCTCTTCCATATTAATTTTTCTGAATTTTTGATATATGATTTAGGAAGCATTTGAAATTTACAGATCAGTCAAGCAAGAGACATATTCTATATGGCAAAAATATAATGCTCATCCATCATCA